AGGCAGGAGGATTGCTGTGAGTCCAAAACCAGCCTGGGCTACATAGTGAGTTCCAGGTCAGTCTCACTACATAGTGAGACCCAAAGTTCTGAAAAATGAGCTGGAGTGTAACACAGTGGCAGGGCACTTACCTCGCTCGTGTGAGGCTATGCATTTGTTCCCCAGCACTGTGCCAATTTTTTTTTTTTAATCCTGGAAACTAATACATGAGAAATAGCCTCTTCTGGCTTCCGGTTTGTCTTTCAACTTTGTTTATGGCATTTTAATTCCCTGGGAGTCCAGTGGTTAGAGCGTGACACTCTCACAGTTGTGGCCAGGGTGCAAGGGGCCCTTGCCAACGCTGCCTCCTCCCGGGCCGGCAGCTCCTTTCTTCTCTGAGGGTATCACAGTTTTTGCATTTCACATTTGGGCTCGTGACTTCGGTGAAACAGGCTTCTGGATACAATATGAAGTCGGGATCCAATTTTACTTTTTGCTGTGTCACCCCTTACCGACTGTCATGCGATGCCACCATCTGACGGGCCATTTTAAGTGAGGCCCTCTCTGGCCCGTCATCCGTCCCTACTCTAGGGCCACACTGTCTTCGCTATGGTGTCTCTAGGGCAAGTCTGTCTCTCCCTCGTGGCAGAGCCTCCTGTGAGTCTCCGGTTAGGCTGGCTCCTATGTCTCTGTTCCTGTCGCACTTAGGACTATACTGATTGAATGCCTGCTGCTCTATCCCTTCATAAATTCCTCCAGGGCTGGGACATCTCTTCTGGTCACTGCCACAGCCCTCCATCAGAGCACAATGATGGCATGTAACAGGCACTCAATAAATGGTGAGAGCCAGGCACAGGGGTGCACGTCTGTAATCCCAGCACTGGGGAGGCTGAGGCAGGAGGATTGCCACAAGTTCAAACATTAGCTGTCTTCTAGGGATTTCTTAGAAATTGGAATTCTCGAGTCCTCCAGAGGCCTGAACTCTGGGGAGGGGCTGCAGGTGACTCTGTGTGCTTCAGGCTGAGCACTCCCTTCCCTCTTTGGGGCACAGTACCCTAACCCCATGTCTCTGGGCCTCAGGCGGTTTACAGTTGTGACGGTTCCCTTGGCCCAGCTGGGACAAGGCCAACACCTGCTGGCCACAAGCAGTCCTCCTCTACCTAACGCCTTTGTTAAACGTTATTTTCTGAGTGTTGCCAAATTCAAAGAGGCCAGAGAGCATAGCCTTTGGGAACTCTGGAACTTCTTGTTCATTTTTGAAAATCTGGTAACAATAACACTGACATTACTATGACAGCAAAAACCGCTTATTTACTAAATGTTTGCAATGTGGACATATTTTTGTTGTTGAAATCTAACAAACACCACATGGTTAGCTATTGTTACCCCGCTTTACAGACCGGCAAACAGCTCTGAGAAGTTAGGGAGACCCGCGAGGTCCCGGGGGGAAAGGGTTTTCCCGGGCCGCAGGCCTGGGCACCTGCGTTTCCAGGCCGCCACTGCTTCTAAGGTTGATGGCGAGTATATGCTGAATCCTATCACACCCTTCTCCAGCCATGGCGTCTGCATCGTTCCCATTCTATACATGACACGGAGGCTCAGAGGAATTGAATAACTTTGCATGGGCACAGGCTGCTAACCTGTGTTCAGGATTTAAACCCGACAAGCCTGGCTCCCATCATCTGCCTTGTTTGGTATCGGGGGTTGAACCCAGAGATGGCACCGAACACATCCCCAGCCCTTTTTCAAATTTTTGAGGCAGGGTCTCGCTAAGTGGCTAAGTCGCCCAGACGGGTCTCAAATGTTTTGATCCTCCTGCCTCAGCCTCCCCGAGTGCTGGGATCACAGGCCTGTGCCACTGGTCTTTGTGCAGTGCTGCTGCAGGAGCTGGGCAGAAGGGGTCTCGGGGTGCTTGCTCCCCGCTTTCCTGCATTCCCATCTCACACCTGCTGCCCAGGGCCTGGCCGGATGGAAGGCGGAGACGCCAGCTCTGGCCAGCGTGCCCTGCCCAGGCTCTGCTTCCCAGCTATTCCTCCGTGCACTCATCACCTTGTCCTGAGTCTGCAGGGACGGACCGAGCAGCTGCCTTGCCACCTCATTTGGGAATCTGGGCGATGCCTGGGTATGGGGAAGCTGGGCTCCAACCTGCAGGACAAAATGAGAAGCCTCCCCACCCGGGTAGCTGCATGTTTTCTACACACGCAGGCTGGCGGAGGAGGGGAGAACAGCACAGGGGAAGCAGGGCTGACCCGGAGCCTCGTGCTCCAAAGGAACGGCCGCGTCCTGAATTCATCCCGGTGCCGCAGCCGAGCCCTGTGGGTCCCGGGCCTCCGATGCTGCACCTGCACCCAGAGTGCCCTCGTCCCGCTGTCCAGGGCCTGGCCCCGAGCTTCTCTTCCTCAAGTGGAGGAACGTGGCTGAGAAGCCTCTGTATCGCTGATGGCCCCGCCGGCGCAGGCAGCCGCGTGCTGCCAGCAGGACCTGAGCGCTTGGGTTCTGCTCTCAGGGCTCACAGAGCCGGGAGTCTGGAAGGGGCTGGGAGGAAGCTCAGCCTCAGGACAGGACAGGGGGGCAGAAACCAAGGTACAGGCGTATGAAAGTGTGGTGGCAGTGACGGGTACCCAAGTGAGCCCCTGTTAAGTTAAACGCTGTCCTGGGAGGGACAGGAGCTCTCTTACTCGTGACTGGATCTCCAGCGAGCAGAATGATTTCTCCTATGAAAAGGACACTCAAGAAATATTTGGTAAAGTGACGATTCATGCTACAGTGAGGAGCAACACACAAACTTCATGCTACGTGAAAGCAGCCAGTCTCGAAGGAGCACATCGTACCTGATGCCATTGGCCGGAGATGCCCAGAACAGGCAGGTCAGAGAGGGAGAAAGGAGTGGTCTGGCCTGAGGGTGGCGGGGAGCGGACGGATGGCTGGGGCTGCCACTCAGTAATGAAAGTGTGCTAGAGTTGACTGTGCAATGCACTTTGTAAATAAACTAAAAACCACTGGATTTACACCGTAAGTGGGTGGAGTATAAATGCCAGCCGAGGAACGTTCATTCACACGCTTTCCACATGTGCAGTCATTCACTCAACCCTGGGACAGATCCCGACTGTTCTCCTGGAGCGCACGCACTCACACTCACATGCATGGCTCCTTGTATGTGCTTAGAAATTCTCCAGTCACACTTAAGTCCAGTTTTTGTTTTTGACAGGGTCTTGAAATCAAACTGATCAAAGCTGGAACGAAGGCTTAAGGGTGAGCAGCCTGCACTGGGAAACGTAAGAGCCCCTGAGCAGGAAGGGGAAAGTCCTACACAATGCTGAGTGTGTGATTGCTGAACAGGTTTTGCACACGACCCGCAAAATGAGTTTAGAAGCTGAGAACCATGACGTCCCACCCAGTGGGACACAGAGGCTGCTGAGTGGTGGGAGTGATGAATTTCCTGTCTTCCAAGCCGGCAGGGGGCGGTAGCTCCTCAAGGGGATGCAAGGGGATTCTAGGAGCAGCGCAGCTGATGCATCTCTGGTTTCGGGGCCAAGCTGCCAAGCAGCAATGGTGCCAGGATATAGGGCAGGAGCCTGCGGAGGGCGGAGACTTGGGCCCTGCTGCTTGCAAGCTCCCAGTAAACTCCTCTGACACAGTTAACCTCTCAGGGTCTCAGTGAAGTGAGGAGGAACTTTTTTTTTTTTTGAGACAGGGTCTCACTATGTAGTGGAGACTGACCTGGAACTCACTGTGTAGCCCAGGCTGGTCTCAAACTCAGCGATCCTCCTGCCTCAGCCTCCTGAGTGCTGGGATTACAGTGTGCGCTATGATGCCCAGGGAAGAGTAACTTTTAAAACTAATGATTAAGTCAGATCATTGAGGAAAGCACACGCACAGAACTGTGAAGGTAAATGACTTCAGCGTGACTTAGAGGAGCTGGCCGCAGCAGTTAGCATGTGTGCCAACTGGATCGGCTTGGGGTCTGCCCGGGACTGGTGGGGCAAGCTGTTGGGTGTTTCTGGATGGGTCATAGAGTGTGGCTTTGGGCAACAGGTCTGTGCCTTTGCCCCCTCCTCTCAGGCGGTGTTTCCTTCCCTGCTTCCTGGCCGCCATGAACCGAGCAGCTCTGCTCTGCCAGGCCCTTCGGCCATGATGTTCCTCTTGGGAGCCAGCTGACTATGGACTGCACTCATGCAAACTGTGAGCCAAATGAATCTCCCCTTTTAAGAAAAATATATATACACTTTTAGAAAACAAGATTTTTTTCTTTATACTTCTATTTGCAACCCAAGCTCAAGTTTTGTGTTAAATAATAAGATTCTGGATATGGTGGTACATGCCTATAACTCTAATCAGGAGGATGAGGTGGGAGGATACTGAGTTTAAGGCCAGCTTGGGCAATTTAAGCCTGTGTTTAAAGACAAAAGTAGGGGCCAGGCATGGTGGCGCATGCCTGTAATCCTAGCACTCTGGAGGCTGAGGCAGGAGGATCGCTGTGAGTTCGAGACCAGCCTGGGCTACACAGTGAGTTCCAGGTCAGTCTCAACTGCATAGTGAGACCCTGTCTCAAAAAAAAAAAAAAAAAAAAAAAAAAAAAAAAAAAAAAAAAAAAAAAAAAAAAAAAAAAAAAAAAAAAAAAAAAAAGACAAAAGTAGGGCGGGGGATTTAGCTCAGTGGTTCTGTCCCCTGCCTCACAAATGCAAAGTCCCAAGTTTGATCCCTGGTACAAAAAAAACCAAAAACAAACAAACAAACAAACAAAAAAACTTGTGTAAAGGCAAAAGTAATCCAGAAAAGGGCTAGGGATGAAGCTCAGTGCTCCCTGGGTTCAATCCCTGGTACTGGCCCCCCAAAAGTTTACTGAGGGCTGGGGATTTAGCTCAGTAGTTATGCCACCTGCCTCAAAAGCGCAAGGAGCTGAGTTCGATCACTGGTGCAAAAAACACCTCATCATTTCAAAGACTCTGAATAGCCCCCTCTCTGATGTGATTTCTGCCCTAGCTGGGGGCTGGGCTGGCCTGGGAGTCAGGGTGCCGTACCTGGCTGCTTTCTGGGTGAGCTCCAGCGGGAAGTCCGGGCATAGCAGTTGCAGCAGGCAGTGGTACTCCCGCATGGTCAGCAGGTCTGCAGCGGAAACAGGGAGGAGCAGTCAGGTCTCCGATCCTATCACCACCTCTCCCAGCCACTGCATGTCTTCAGCCTCAGCCTGGGGAAAGCCGCTCTATTTCTCATTCATTTTTATTCTGAGATAGGTTCTTGTACGTCACTGAGTTGCCCAGCAAGAGCTTGCACTTGTGATCCTCCTGCCTCAGCCTCCCGAGAGTGGGATTAGACATGTGCCACCACCTACAGCTGAGTTGGTGTTGGGGTGTGGGGCCACTAACTTCTGGGGTGAGATTTTAAAATCAAGATTCCTGCAAAGCCTTTCCTGGGTTGGGGAGCCCGGTTATGATGTCGGTTTGACCAAAGGGCAGAGAAACACTCAGGTAAGAAAGGACACGGGAGAGGCGCCTCCACGGCTTCTTAGCCTGGTTTCCCTGGATGTAAACATCTGGCGGAAGGAGGAATGAGTCATCGGAGAGCCAGGGGAATGTGCCGAAGGCCCTGGCATGGCCGTGCTCACCCCCACATGCCGGGGTCCATCCACAGGACGTCTGGAGGCTGAATCAAGGCAAAAGGGCTTGCGAGCACGGAGGAGTGGAGCGGAGCCTACTGACCACAGACAGCGTCACTGTCACCCAGCACAGCAGCAGCTGGCTCCTCTGGATGCCCACAGAGATCTGGCCACCTCGTTACAGGAAGCCAGGACGGAGGCCCAAGATACACAGTCTAGGGCTCCAAATGACTCCTGACAGAGGCGCTGCTTGGGAGACAGCAGCCAGGAGGCCCTGTGGTCCAGATTCACCAAGGAAGCAAATCTCAGAGAGGTTTACTGGGATCCCCAGGGATAGGAAACACGCTGGCGCTGAAGGGCTGTGTTGCTGTTGCATGTACTAAAGCCAAAAGCGTTTGGATCAGCCGGCAGCCGCAATCTGCAAGCATTCCCACGCACCATTTCAACTATGGCAGGGCAGCTGAGGGTCGGCAGGAGCTGCGGCCTGACGCCTGCTAACGGGAGGAAGGGTGGGGGAGGAGACGCACAAGGCACGGCCACATCTGGGAGGAAGATGATGATGATCACAGGCACTTGGTGTCTTTGGCCAAAGTTAGCCCAAGCCACAGGAATCCAGATCTCCTGCCCTGCTAGTTTGGTTCATGCTTTTCCAAGACAAAAACCCCAAATCTCCAGGGACAGGCCTGAGTTCCTACTGCTTTTTCATCAAAGCTCAATTCGAGGTGGGGGCAGAGAGTTAAACTAACCACATGGCCCAAGTCAGGGACACCAAAGAACAGATTCAGCGTCAGTGCAGGTCAAAGGATCAGGATGGCTTTTGTGGCCTTTGCCTTGGCCGCAGTGGGCTGTGTGCTTCCCTCTCCTCCCTTGCTGACCCTGGACACAGCCTGGCAGGAGGCCTTGCTCTTCAGGAGAGGGAGAAGCCACTCAGAGTCTCACAGCTCTGGGGCGAGGCTCAGGGGAGGAGAGAGAAGGGAGGCACGCCAGCAAAGGCATCTCGATATGATCCTAACTGGTGTACTTCAAGTCGTTGCTTCCTGAGGGCAGAAGAACGATTCACAAAAATCCCTTTGTAGCTCTCTCATGCAACAGAAGGTCCTCAGAAATACTAAAAACAGAACATAGCCTGCCCACCACTTCCGGAACTCGACTCTCCCAAACTTCCGTTAAGGAAGGAAGGTAGTCACGTAAAGCGATGCATGATATCACAAGCAAATAAACACCTTTTAATTGTGTGAGGCAGTTCTAATTCCATTAAAGTAATGGGCAGCCACTCCTGGCCCTCGGGGACTGGCGGGACTGGCAGGTGGTAAGACTGGTTCCGAATCAGAACTGGGCTGAGAGAGGGCACCTTTCCCTTTCTTCACCACAGGCTGGGCTGTAATTTTGGGGCACCATTTACAGGTTCCTGTGGGCAAACTGCTCCGCCGCTCACCTGCTCCGGGGAATGGTCAGACTTGCAAGGTAGAGTTCGAGTGTAGAGGACAGGCTGTCTATAAAGCGCTCAGCGAATACCTAGAACTCAGTGACACCGAGGGGAGCTGTGTTGGTTTTTGGTTTTTAAATTCTGGGGAGAAACACAGGAGAAGGCAGCCGTGCACAAAGGTTTTTCTTGCTCAATTTGAATTCGGAGGCCCTGGAAGCGCTCTGCTCGGAAACAGTCAGGCTGCGCAGACCCCTTCCTGACACTCCGCCTCCTCCGCTCTCCTCTAGCCTGCCTGGCCCTGCTGCCGGCCCAGCCACTGCCACAGTGGGGCTCTCTGAGGTGTAAAGCCTCTTCCCAGCAGCCTTTTGTGCTCCAGGAATAACAGTGATGACCGTGAATGGTCTTCAGGCTCTGTGCTCAGCACTTGAATTAGCACACTGAGTCCCCATCGTGCCCAGGCCCAGTGCAAACATGGGACAGACCTAGAAGCTTGGGGGACACAGTAAGCCAGTGACGGAGGAGAGGACAGCAAGGGTCTTCCCAGAGCAGGAGCCCAGCAGGGTGGGAAGAAGGCGAGCTGGGGCCGGAGGCGCCTAACAGTGCCACCAGCTCGCGCTGGAGCGTCTCCTACAGGCCAGGCCCTGTTCTCCTCAGGCCTTCCACGTGCACCTCATCTAACCTGCACTGTTTTAGTCCCATTTCCCAAACACACCAGCTCAGACTGAACATGCCAAAGAGGCCAGACTGGACGGAATTCCAACCCAGGCAGCCTGGCTCCAGAGCTAAGCCGGCAACTTGACATCCACCCGGATGTGTGAGGGTGTAAGTGTGTTTCCCCTTCCAAAGGCATTGCAGGAACCAAATCGCCAAGGTGACAGTCCAAGAGAACTGATATTTCTCCTGTAAGAATCAGAAAGGTTCTAATTTTGTCAGTAGGAAAGATGGAAGCCACTGGGGGTGCGAGTGAGGAAGAGGCGGAGGGGGACCCCGGGCTGTGGGCGATCCGCGGCTCCCACCTGCTCCCCCACTGCCTGCCTCAGTGTCCTGGCAGGTGCAGTGAAGGCGAGCAGTGCACATCCACAGATCCCTCTCTAGAGGGATCCCCAGGATTAGGGAAGCTCAGCCAGCAGGTCCTGCAAGTTCAAAGGCAGAGGCAGAAGGCGGCTTTGGGTAACATCAAAACCGGAAAACCCTCTGCACAAATTGGGCTTCTCTTTGGGTGGGTGGTCAGAAATGTTAAACTTTCTTCTGCTCAACTCCCCCACTGGGTGGCTCAGGACCAGAGGCGTTGCTACACCTCGGTCCTGTCACTTTCAGAGGCAGCACGGACTCCAGAGCGCGGGTGCCTGTGTGCAGGGCCTCGCTTTGGCACTGACCCCAGGAGTAGCCTGGCCGATTCCACGCCTCGGCTTCCACAGGGTATGAAGAGACCGTGCAAATGTCACAGCATGCTGCCGTGGGTGAGGAGTAGCGCCTGGCCTGTGGCCACTGCTCTGTCAGTATCTGCTGTTACTGAAACAAAGAAAGCGGAGAGGTAGCCCACTTTCTCAAGGAAACAGCTGCTGGGAGGGTCCTTAGCTCAGACCCCAGCCTCTCTGGCTCCAAAGGTCCTGGAAGTTCTGTCCTGGAAGAGGAACCCAGGGAGGAACTTCCGGGGACAGGTTGTTCGCACTGCAGACTGCCAGACTGGGTCTAAGTTAAGCACACAGATGCCTTTCAGGAGTCACAGCGAAACCATCATGGTGGGGCCGCCGTCCCTGTCTCACGGCTGGGTGACTGTGAACCACTGGTGGTCCGGGCACCATATACCGTCCAGGAGTCATGCACACCACAGGAGGTCTGCACGGGCGGGAACGCGTCAAATGGCAGGGAGGCGGCTGTGTTAGTGACACCAGCATGACCTGGACCAGTTACACAACTTCTCTGAACCTTGGTTTCCTCATCTTTACAGGGTAAATAACCACCGTACCAACCTAATGTAAAAAAAAGAGGGGGCGTCTAGTATATACATAAGGTACTTTTCTGAGAAAAATTAGCCAAGCGCTCAATAAATGGTACTATTTTATACTTACTAACAGATAAGAACTCGAAGTACTATGATTAAGGGATCTTTGTACTGAACCAAAGCACCAAGCATGGTGCCTGCATGTTATATTATTATCTTTTGAAGGAATGAATGAATTAAAACATACATCACGTGCTGACCCAGTCCAAATTCATAGGGAAAAAACTTTGGTCACCGTGTCACGGAGATGCAGGAGTTCCAGGCAAAGGAATCATTTCTGCAAATTGAGGTCTTGTGTGTGAGAAGCCAGGAAAGGGCGGAACACGGCACATGTTCTATTTGGTAGGCGCTGGGCTCCCCGCAAACCATAAACCATGGCAGCAGACTCCAGAACCTTCTCAGCAAGCGCTCGGTGCCATCAGCTTGAGTAGTGCTTTTCCGGGGAACGCATCGCCAATTTTACTACCGAAACCCAGGAAGCCTAAGGTTTGCCTCCCAGAAACGCACCCCACCCCAGCTACAACTCCGGCCCCGATACTACTGATTTCAAGATCAAGTGACAGCCTGATCCGCAGCGTTCTTCAGTTGCTGGTCTCCATTCTAATCCCTGACAGTGACAAATGACATTATGTTAGCCAGGAACATTAATCTCATCAGAAATGACTGATGCTGGCTTTTTCTCAACCAGGGAAAGAAGAGTCTTTCTATATCCGGTGCCCACTGCTGTCCGGAGTCCTGCCTCTGATGCTCTGCAGGGCAGTGCCGTCCTTTGCACGTCCTCCTCGCAAGACCTCACAAGAGCGGTGAACTCTGTGGTCCTAGATCCGGATGCCTCTGTTCTTCCTCAGACACGGAGCCTTTGCCAGGGCCCACCGGGTCTCTGAGGACCGGAGGAAGAGCAGCAGGTGGAGGGACCTGGGCCCATCTCCCCATCCTTGTGCAGACCTGGCTTTCTCCAAGGTCTGAGTCAGGATTTTGAGCCGGAGAAGTGTGTGGGACCCTTGGGTGGGGCTCGGTGTGGACTCATCGTGTGAGCGCTGCGTGTGGGCCGGGGGAGCGGCGCTGGTCAGGCCTGTGGT